ACCATTGATAATAAAAATGAGGGAAACGCACGAATCTCGACTGTCAACAACACACCCCCTGACAGGAGAACGGGAAAACCGCCAATTGTACGAATCACGTATCTGTGAAGGTCATAAGCATGTCCATGCAGGGGTGGATGTGGTTACGGTCTAGGCCATTGTTAGTTCAATCTTGAAGTCACCGAATCTTTCAAGTAGGCACGTACGTTTAGTCCAATTTGTTGGGAAGCTTTCATTCTTGCGCTTTGAGTTAAATCATGAACGCATACATGAAACATTTCGTCTACAATCTGTAGCCATTTGTGAACAGCACAATATAAAGGTATGGTCAACAATATACGTACAAATCTTCCGGTTTGTCTGACACGACATCGAATAGTGAATTTGGACATTCAATAGGCGCGTAAAATGTATCAAAATTTGTTTACATACTTCGAACACTAAAGTCAGATTTATATTTTTTCTGAACGAAATAATGGAAAAAACTAAGCGAAAACATGTAAATGTACAAATTGGGAATTGTTGCTATAGCAATACATGATAAAAATAACTATTATTTATTACAATAACGATATCCACTTTTATATTTGATTGGTTCACTCTATGTTGTCATGGCAATCAAGGGTCAATAGCTCAAAACTATTTTTTCGTAGACGTTTTGTCCATTTTAAGTGCGTAATTCAGTAACCATAGCGATATTTTTATTTGGATTGTGTGAAAAACATCACCAAGACAATATGTAGGACAATATGTCTTTATGGTAGCTAACTGTTTTAATGTTATATATAGTGAGCCAGTTATGACGTCACAGGGAATATTTTCTCCAATAGAAGAATGCATGGCGGCAACGCATCATAAATCTACTCGCTGTTTTTTAATGAAACCTCGGTTGCTTGTAAGAGGCAATACAGTTAGGGAAAAACTAAAGTTCGCAATCTTACGAGCTGTACGAGCTGCACGCCATCGCGAGAGCCACTTTTAAATAAATTGAGTGTACATTGCATTAATTGTCATCACGGACACATTAATAACGACCACCTCTTACCCACTTCAGTCTCAAATGCACTACCGTACCCTGTGATTATTATATTGTGGATAAAAGTCGGTTATTCCTACATAATTAAAGATACATTGTGGAAATAAAAGGGTAACGAATAGGCTTTAAATGCATCGTTTTAACTCTTCTTCCTGCTCATTAGTCACATTAAGCGGATGTAGAAGGTCAATAATGGTCCGCCAGTAAAAAGCAATAAAGAATAGCACTTGGTCATAAACCTGGAGTATAGCCTTGAGACGCAGAAAGTAATGTAGTAGTCTAAAACACAATATATGTATACTGAATTCGAACGATGTGATGGAATATAATTAGCGGTAATTATAACGGAAATCCACAGTATACACATGTTAATAATGCTATTGCTATTTACATTTATCGACAATAAGACGCTGTTAACTTTGAATCATGTATGGCTGCCGTTCTTTTAATAACATCGGGTTGGATATTCCATCATGTCTATTAACGTTAAAGAACTACACGTGGATCATATATATGTTGTAACTTTCTCCACTTTCTAACACCATGCTTTTAACAATAATAGATTTCCCACAGTGCCAGTTTAGATGAGTAGTCAACTCTATAATACCGTACAGATACAGTGCAAGCCTCGGGCTAGCACATCTTTGGGACTAGAAAATCAAATTCAAATTCTTTGTTATTAATACGATATACCTTCAATATATACTGTTTTACGTCAATAGACGCAGAGCATAGAAATTGAAACATGGTGATACACTCTTCGTTGTTTTGTTTAATCTAAGTTGAACTTCTTTAAGTAATATCCCCCCATTTCCCATTTCCTTGATACTAAAAATAGTGTGGGTTTATTTATTTTTGCGTTCTTGCATTATTCGTACTAACACTATAGTGTTATTAAGTTACTAAAGTGAACCCTAGCGATAGTATATGTCTGGAACTAATAACTGCCAAGCTAGAACATAGCCTGTATGCATCTATCTGCAACAATAACATACACAGCTGTTTCAATTTAGCGGTCTTTAATGCCACCAGTATCATATTATTACATACGTCTACCTCTGCGACATCGATGATTCAAATCACTGTAGTATATACTCACCCTTTACTGCTCAAAGAAAGAAAGAAAGAAAGAAAGAAAGAAAGAAAGAAAGAAAGAAAGAAAGAAAGAAAGAAAGAAAGAAAGAAAGAAAGAAAGAAAGAAAGAAAGAAAGAAGCGTCACGGTGTGTGCCCCGGTTTATGGTTGAGTTATGTTAACGAAATGCCTTGTCTGACACACATTACATACTATTCCCCATGTGAACAATAAATTGAGAGAGCATATAAATCCGGTGATAACTTCACTTCATCACCTGTTTACACTGAGTGTTTAACACACTTGTGTAATGGGGTAATAACACAAAATTGCAATTGCGCACCTTGAGCCGATTTTTTTTAATATTTTTTTTTTCTAGATTGCGAAGCTGTCTTATTTTAATGCAGTGACTTGATAGACACCATTTTTACGAGTGCTGTGTAATTATTATTATGAGAACGACGTGCATGATTTGCATTGCAATGTACTTCATATGTATTGTCGATTTCGTAGTGTGGGACAGTGACTCACAACAGAACACTGATTAGTGTCTGCAGATTTACTAATGCAAGTATTTCCATTATTTCACAATTCATACCTAATCGATAATAATATATATTCACATCAACCGCTAGTGTATTTTATAACGACGATAAGTCTATCCTATGCCAGCTAGTATGTGAATCGTAGGCGAGCGTAAAATAGATTTCGAATGCTATATGCCACTACGGGGATTTCATTATTATTTTTATGATATACCATTAATATGTGCAATGCGTCACGTATATGACATAGCGGGTAGACCGTAAACAAACGTGCAATGTTGAAACATTGCTTTAAAAATACACATTCGTGTAGGTAGTAGTATGTTTTGACACAGAACTCTAATTTTGTAAAATATATAAAATAAAATGTAGCTTATTCACGTTTTCATTCGATAAATTATATATTTGTTTGTATATCTTATTCACTACCATATAATCACTGATGAAGTGTCAATGTCCACTAACGATCCATGGCTACGATAACCAGCTACAACTTTCAATATATTAGCATTATCAAACATCCAAGTTCATTGTATTATTTCCTCCGTAGTTCTAACAGGAAATTACGTTCATACTGAAACCTGATAATGTGATTGTAATCAGAGAATGGTAACTGCAAATATATATATAATATACCTTAAACGCACATTTTCTCGCCATTATCGCGTCCACTATCCAACTTTATATATATGGTTTATATAACCATAGTGGTAAGAAACAATAAACGCAATGGGGGAGTGAGAAAGAGAGAGAGAAAGAAGCAAAATCTAGTCATGTTGCTGTCTGACTGTGAAATCTCGCCTGACATATGTTGTACCCTTGTGCCATTAAAGCTATTACTAGTTTGTGTGACCCAAGGCCGGTACAGGAAGCTGCACGCATTGTAGTAAATGAAAGACGAACAATTTACAACAGTAAAAACGACTTATTTTACGTTATTTTATTGACTTTTTGCTGCGACCGTTTAATGTGCTAAGAAGTAGATGGTAATTTAAAAACAAATTCATTTTAGATGAAATACCCTTTCCGGCAGTCAATTACCTATGCGTATGTACATACGTATATAGAAACATACGTGTTTTCATATGATTGTGTCTCCTTGCGGCGATATTTTGTACAGATTAAAGGTGCGAATATATACATTTATCAACAGCACCAAAGATTTATTGGTCAATATATATCACTAACGCAGAAAAATAATATAGTGTTCGAGTTGATTAAAACATTGTATAAAACAGCCGTTCTCATCAATTCAGCGAATACATTGAGTAATTGTATTACAGCTATGCGGCAAAGATACGTCTTTATATGCGAATGTGAAATATTATATAAAACAATGAGTTGTGACTGGGAAAATAGGTGTATAATATTACGATGTATTACACATATCTCACCCAGTATACGTTAATTAACAAAAAAACATGACATTTTCTGAAACAATAAAGAGTTTATTCCTCTATTTATATCTAAGAGTTATTATCGTATATTTGTGTACATATTTTTCTACCAACGTGGTATGCAGTTGTCAAAATGTCTAAACTATTTCAATAAATTGTTAAATGAAATGTACAGACACCTCCCTGCTGTTTTCATTTCACCTAAGCGGATTAATGAATGTCGCAGAAAACGAGCATACCGAGAATAGACAGTAAATATGGCAATCCTACATGAGTCTGTATATCCTTCCAAGATGATGATAATGATAAACCAATATGGTTGGTTGTTAGTTACAACCTCAATAGGGCTGTGAATACACCTATACACAATGAGTAAGATACAACGGCAGGGTAGTTGTTGTGAATACAATCGTGAATTCAATCGTTTTTAAAATCCATCTAATGAATTAGCATACAGGATAATGCTCTCCCACGCAGGGCGGCGGGGATTGTACTCACTTTGGTTGACTGTACAATATATACTGATGACAAATCTCAACAGACGAGGTAACACAGAATAAGATACTTGTGTATACTGGGTTAAATATAACATATATACAGGGCATAGGGTCTACTGACAACGTCTGTTTTTCAATAGTGGATACTTCTGTAACTGTCCATCCTCTTAAAAAAAGACGGATATTGACCAAAATATGATTACCATAAACATAAACAATAAAAGAAAGCTGGCTAGTCAAAGTTAAAAACAATCCTGGCGTCTTACTTGTTACATCATGGTCTATGTTCATATCATGGTTCAACCGGGTTGGTAAATGTCTTGGAAAAACACAGTCTATAACAAAAATCAAATCATTTTACATATGACAGTAGATAATTCGACAGCAACAGTGTATTATTAATATTATCTAAACGCCGCTGTTCAGAAGACTCCTTCTTTATCCGTAAATCTTCACCCTTCACATTTTTTGCCTCGGCTTCCCCTGCGTGTCGAGAGCGTAGTCATGGTAACCATACCATTCGCATCATTGTGGCATTCGTAGCCGTCTGATTTGGGCAAGCACGCTGTAAGGGTTTCCTTGAAGGCCTGACGGTACTTGTCACACAGTACATTGTATATGATTGGATTTGCAGCCGAGTTAATATACGTCATAGTGCGACATACGTTGAGGGAAACCGACACTGCTAAATTGTCCAATGAAAAGTGATCTTGATAAAATACTATCAGCGCTATCATTCGGTACGGAACGATGCAGATCAAAAACACCAACGTTGTTGCGAGCAACATGCGGATAAGTTGTTTCTTGGCTCGATACGATGCCTTGGCAGTCAACGATTTGCCGGTGGAGCGTTCGGTTTGGACTAACCGCATCAGTATCAACAAGTAGACACAAACCAGTAGGGGCAACATACACAGGAACAGAAATTGTCCAATAACGTAATACACGGAATAGAATTGACATCCGTCGGTGCCAAAGCACTGTCCGCATTGGGTAAATGTGGTAGACAAATCTGTATGATTGCTAAGAAATTCTGGCCAAGCTATTTTATGGGCTGTAGCTACTTTAAAACACAACTCTGGAATCATGTAAACTAGACAGAAAAGCCATATCACAACGCATATTATCACAACATTTTTTTTAGTTCGATATACACGAAACTTGATATACCATCTTATTGCAAGGTATTTTTCCAAAGCAAGAATGATGATCGTTATACAAGACACGGCGATTGTCACACCAGACAGGTAGTTAAATGCTTTACATCCGGCATTTCCCAGGGCCGTCCAGTCATTTAGAAGGGGTACTGACGCCGACGCATACATGTACAATTTGGGTGGCACTACAACCAATAAGAAAATAATATCCGCTATCGCCAGGTTAACCAGTAAGAGGTTGGTCACACTTTGCATCCCTCGACCTCGCATAAAGACGTAAACCGTGAGGGCATTGCCGATGAATCCGATGATGAACACTGCCGGCATTAAAACACACACGATCATTGTATCAGCACGCGAGTAGAGAAACTTATCCAACTCGCCAGCTGAAACGTAGTAAGTAAAGTTATCCATGTAATCGTACTGGCCATCGTCTTCCGCTATTACTGCAGCGCTAGAACCCGGAGTTGTATAATCCACTGTAGTCATGGTTATCTACAAATAAAAGAAAACGCAATGTAGTTATTACAGTAGATATAACACAATGCAGCGCACCTGTAATAAGCGAAATGCATGAAATTTATGTTCTCGTATTTGTTACCCAGTTGTATGTTTACACTTCCAGGTCGTACAGAGAAGCACCGAGGCAGTGAGTCTGAGTGTAGCAGACGGGAAACAAAGCTACGTCATTGTCACGTGACCACATTAAGCCCTAATACGAATAACGATGTATGATTGGATAACAGCTCATGAAACCTATAGACATTAGTCAAATCAGTTGAATTCGTCGCATTCACTAAAACCACTCACACAAATAGCGTGAATTTGAGCCAAAAATACACACAAAAATCTGCGTGAATGGAAGCTAAACTGTCGATTCGTCATCGACAATGTAAGTGTACACTGTTATCAAACCTAACTGTACATACGTTACTGAGAATGTAAGTGTACACTGTTATCAAACCTAACTGTACACACGTTACTGAGAATGTAAGTGTACACTGTTATCAAACCTAACTGTACATACGTTACTCAGAATGTATGTGTACAC